CTCATGGAGTGCCAGGTGCAGGGTCTGCTAGCTGGGTGCTGGCAGGCTTGCACCTGGCACGGGCATCGTAGCCAGCCCGTGCCCCTTTAAAAGGTCCGGGGCCGGGAGGGGGGCAGACGAGTTTCCCTGGTGTTGGCCAGAGTGGCCACCAGGAAAAGCTGGGGAGGGCTAGCCTCCCACTAGTTCGAATTAAGGGGCTACACACCCCTTAATTCGAACTAGTAAGTTCAAACTAAGCTTAGTCCTCATAGAATGAGGTTTACCTAGTTCGAACTAAGCGCTCCACTAGTTCGAATTAAGTTCGAACTAGCGGAGCGCTAGTGTAGCGCCTATCAAAGTTAATTCATATTAACGTCCGTTAGTTTGAATTAACTTTGTAGTGTAGACATACCCTCAGTTCTTAAGTGTGAATACCATTATTCATTGTAAGTGTTAAACGTCTGATACATTTAAAAATTACTATTATTTTAAGCTCTTCTTCTAATGATACCACAGCAAATTTACTTTTGTTTGTAGTGTAATTTATTTTAATCAAATTAATTCTTCCTTTTCAGAAAATGGCATCTGGACCTTTTAACTATTACTATAGGTCACTGGTTCCAACCTTTTTGATATCAGGGACTGGCAAACCCATTCACAAACTTTTGGTACACTGGTAACATCTGCATATTTATTATTTGCATAATATGCAAATATTCAAATAAAATGTTACCAGTCCACCAAAAGCCCCAGTGCCCGCCCTAACCCTCTAGGAGGGCCCCAAACCCTCCACTATCCTTGCAGTACCATTCACTGTCCCCAGAGACTCCTGCACCGATCCCCAGTGCCAGCCCCCCATCCCCTAGAGCTCACCACCACGAGATTTCCCAATGCCAACCTCCAGGTTTCCAGAGCCCCACTGCACCCAACCCAAGTCTCCCCCTAGTGCCAGTCTCCAATAGTAGCCCCATCCCAAGCCCCCGTGCCGCAATCCCCCAGTATTAGTCCCACCTCCAGAGCCCCCCTGCACTAGGCTCCCCTCACCACCTAGCCTTTGCTGCCTTCCAGCAGCCAGCTGAGCGCTACTGCCCAGGTCATGGCTACTCTATGGTTGCCACACCATGAGCATTTCTCCTGCCTCACAGCAAAGCGCTCTTCTGTGGCTAGGAAGAGACCCTGCTCCTGCCCTGCCAGGCCTGGCGACAGCCCAGCCCCCGACACACACATGGGATCAGCAGTGTCTGTAGCACAGACGGGCGCATGTTTCTGGTGGCTCTCCAGGCCACTAACAGTGGGGGCCTAAAGGTGCAGGTTCACTCAGCCCATGCGCATCTCGGGCTCATGGAACCCATCTGACAGCTGGTGGTACTAGCCCCCTTGACACCTGCTGGTTTGAGTCAGGGAACCTGGCTCCCCCCTGCAAAACTCCAACCAGTGCTGCAGGCTGCAGCACCCTGGGACGTTGGGGAGCCACCAGAGCTCAAAGTGAGGCCATGGCGAGGCTGCCCCAGTAGGGATAGCCTCACTGCGGCCCGACTCAACCACAGCACATGGGACAGCCACCCGTCACTCACTGTGGAAGGAGAATTTTTAGGCGCGTGAAGGCATGCACCTTATAGGGAACTGAGCTCCCCCATGGGCAAGGCTCATTAGCAGCTGAGGGCATAGCCTGGAAGAGTGCTACAGCCCGGAAGGCAGGGGTTTGTGGAATCCCACTGGTCTGTGGACTAGGGGTTGGGAACCACTGCTGTAGCCTAACGCAGCAGACACAGATAGAGCATTCCCCTTACATTCAGAACAACTGACGTGCTGAATGTTACTATGCATTGGTTTCATACAGTCACTTACTGTGCTTTCCCTGGTTGATATCCTTTCATCAGTCTTCATCACTGAGAACTGCATATCACTGGGATCTGCTCTTACTGATGTCTGCAAAGAAAGTCCAGATTCAGATATTATTTTTATGTAGTATATAATTAGAGCCCTGTGTGGATGCAAAATTGTGTGTCTGCATCCACAAAAATAAACCATGGATATCTGCATTCACATACACAGATGCGGTATGGCATATATAAAGTGGATTTTCGCAGATCTTCAGAACTCTACGCATAGTGTGCTGAGCACTGTATAGATAAGATAAGAGGACACTTTTCCTATCTAGAATATTTTGTGTGTTAGTGCAATATAAATATCAGTAACAATTCCACTATTCTACCTTTATTCATAAAATCAACATCCTCTCTTCATTAATAACAGGAGAGAGAAAGAAACTACAGCTTTGATCTTGTTGAGCTTTAATTACCAGAGAACATCCAGCAATAGATGTCCGAAAGGCAGATAAAGATGTAAGTCTAAATAGAGGTGTTAAATTCATGTTAATGTAGATATATTAGTAACTGAAGTGGCATGACCAAATTAGATCGTGTTAAAAAAGAAAACCAATCAAACCCATAATGGGAAAAGAAGAAAGAGCCAACACTAGAGCATTTAGAGACAAGCAGAACTGAAAAGGATGAAACAAGCAGCCCTCTCTATCTACCAAAAGGAGATTCATGTTGAATATATATAGCATTGCTTCCATAAAAATTCCAAAGCCATTTTAAATGCTCAAAACAATGCTGTACAGCCTCTCCCCGAGTTATGAACGAGTTATGGACCAAACACTTGGCTGTAACTCAAAGTGTTCGTAATTCGGACCCTAGTGAGTTATTTGGCAACCGTACTGCTTGTAAGCACGGATCGCATTCGTAACTCGGGAACTGCATTTACAACCGCTTCGGTCATAATGCGAATGGTCGTAACTCGACTGTTCACAACTCGGGGACTGCTGTACATGAAATGCTCAGAAACAATGCTGACATTATAATCAAAAGTTTCAGAGGGGTAGCAGAGTTAGTCTGTAACAGGAAAAACTTAAAAAACAACAAACAGTCTGGTAGCACTTTATAGGCTAACAAAACATGTAGATGGTATCACGAGCTTTCATGGATACAGCCCACTTCTGCAGATGATTCTTTCAGAAATCAAAGAGGCTGATAAAAGAGGTGCTATAGTTATCATGAACAGGTCAGATTACAAACTGGAGGGTGCTGGACAACTCTCTAACACTGCATTATTTTTTGATCCCACAAGGAATACCAAAAAAACCTATTGAGTTTCTACTCAAGAAACTTCTTGAAGCAGCACAGGAACAAATCTTCATAGACAAACACCCAAAGCCTCAAAGTATTCCATCTACTACCCAAATCCATAAACCTGATGTCCTGGATGGCCCATCATCTAAGGCACTGCACTCCTTCAGCAGAATTGCCTGGCTATGCAGACTTTCTCCTCAGGCCCTTTGCTATCAGGACTCCCAGATAGCTTCAACACACCACTGACATCCTGAGGAAACTACAATCCATTAGTTATCTTTCAGAAAACACCACCCTAGCCACTAAGGAGGAAGAAGCTCGCTATACCAACATTCCACACAAAGATGGACTACAAGCTGTCAGGAAGGGGATCCCCAATGATGTCACGGCGCAACTGGTTGATGAGCTTTTGTTACTTTGTTCTCACACATGACCATTTCAGATTTGGGGACAATTTATACCTCCTCACCAAGTTCCATATCCTCCTCTCCTAGAAGTCCTAGAATGTGGGAAGCCTTTAACTCCACTTCCAGGGATATTTCCTGGAGCAGAAGGCTGACATTCCCACAGCTGTGATTGCTACACAGGGGAACTGTAATAAGACATGTCCTTGTGCTCTCCCTCTGTTATGAAACCTTAGCTATGCCTGCAACTCCTTTTGTATTCAGTTTTGCCTGTGTTCCCTGTGTTTCCTAAAGAAAAATGCATGATTTCAGAACAACAGGATCTTTATTTATTATGCCAACTGCATTTGGGAAGGGGCAGTGGATAGAGAGGCTGGTTTACAGAGCAACACACATAATTGTACAATGGGGAAGGTTGGGAACAAGCAACACAAGGTAGTCTCATCATTGTCTGGTCATTCAAGAAACTGGTTTTCAAAACCTCTCTGATGCATAATGTGCCTCAATGTACTCTCCTTATTCTCTGGTGTCTGGTTGCTCATAACAGGCTGCCAAGTAACGTGCCTCAGTCCTACACCCCACCAGAAACTTCCCCTTTTATTTTCACAGATATTATGCAGCACACAGCAGCAACAATAGGAATATTGCTTTAGCTGAGATCTAATCGAATATATAAACTTCACCAGCATCCTTTTAAATGGCCAAAGGCACATTCTACCACTGTCCTACACTTACTCAGCCTGTAGCTGAACTGCTCCTTACTGCTTTTCAGGCTGCCTATGTATTACTTAATGAGTCATAGGAATAAGGGGTAGGTTGGGTCTCCAAAGACAACTATTGGCATTTCTAATGGTAATTTTCTGGTCTGGGAAGAAAGTTTTATCTTGCAGCTTCCTGAAGAGAATGGAGTTGCTAAAGATTCAGATCTCATACATCTCTCTTGACCATCCCATGTTGATATTGGTGAAATGGCACGTCATCCAAGTACTCCGTGTGGTTTATATACTCTTTCGCAAGGTGGTCTGGTGTGAAGATAAGGGTACGCAGTCCATCTATTGCCCAATCATAATTCGGGAACCCCATCCAAATAAAGCCATTCACTATGCCCTGCATATTCCCTGGAGTTACTATTCTTCCTAGCAGAAGTGTATTGATTGCCTTCGCTATTTGGTTCTCAGCAGCACCCACTGTAGACTTACCCATTCTGAATTAATTCCTGACTGACTGGTAGCAGTATGGCATTGTGAGCATCCTAAAACCTATGGCCATTCACTTCTCAAGTGTAAAAAAGGGTCTCGTTCTGGTATTATGGTGTTTCAAGTTGGGGGAAAACGATTCGCAAAACTCCATGCAAATGGCCTTATATATACAAAAATTTTGCAAGCCACCAGTCATCGTCCCATAACTATGTGATCGCATCAGTCTATATTTGTTTCCCGGGATCAGACTTGGCATTTCACTGTGCCACCATACCTGACTGCCACCAGCATATGCCAATTGCTCCATTCAGTCGGTTCCTACACATCTGTGTGCATGACCTTCTCGCTCTCTTCCCCACGCAGGTAGCTCCTGGCTAGGCTCTGGACAAACTGCAGCATAATGCATTTTGGGGCAAGCCATAACATGCAGCACTGAAGAGTACTGGAGTCCATAGGGCAACCCAAAGAAACTGCTATAGGCTCCAAAGTATGCTGAAGTTATGCTCCAGCCCTGGAAGCAGTCCAAGATTAAGAGAATGCAAAGATGACTTATAGCCACTTTAGAATCCACTCCTACTGGGCACAGAGTTTGGTTTTGTGACTCTCAGAGACCAGCACAGAATTTTGCCCCAGGATCATAAACAAAGTATAACAATAAAATAAAGATGATGATATTACCTGTCTTACAGTATCTCCTTCCTGATTGCTAATAGTTATCATTTTGTCTTCACTACCTAGTGCCAGCAAGTTTTCAGTACTCCAGCAACCACAAGTGATCCGCTTGGTGTGTTTACCTGAAAAACAAATATACACCTAACTTACACATATTTTAAAAAAGTATACAAAATTAGAGGTGAAAATGTGACCTCTAATTTATATCCATCCCAGGCAGGTTTGACCCCTACAATACACACATTAAAAAAAAAAATTTAAAATGTTAAAGGAAAGATTAATGTACTTCAACTATGTATATTTTCATAAAATAATTAGCCTGTGAAACAAAAAATTGACATGGTGAATATTAAAGAACGCATAATTGTCAAAAATATTTATCATGAAAGTTTTTCTTTTAAAAAAAAAAAATCCTAGAGAAGAAAGCCTTTGTATCTTTATGGAACCTTTAGGACGTTCTCATCTTTCCACCTGATTTGTATCAAACCTAAATTGTTTACCGTAGCTGCCATTTCCCCCCTCCCCCCCATGGGACTCTAAAGTTTATTGATGTTTCTCCTCAAATATACCATGGAAATGATAGAATATCAACACAAAACAGTCCACTGCCAATTTTCTGGCCTGCGGAGCAAGGGAAAAAAATTTAGCTCAAGTTTCCCCGTTTCCCACATGGCAGTACAGAATGTTGCCACTCAGTCATCGCAGAGATGTTTTACAAAGTATTCTATAAGAAACCATTCTCGCATGCATAATGAAACAAAAGTTGCTACTTGAACAAAGGTACACTTTGGAGTTAATTATACAGTATTATATTTTTAAACTGAACAAAAAGGAAACTTAACACTTGGAGTACAATTTTTCTCTCAGATACATACAAACCCTATGAATTCAGTATAAGACAGGTTGAACCTCCCTGGTCCTATGCTGAATTCCATGGTTTAGGACCTTAATGTTCCCAAACCATGGAGTTTGCCAGATCAGGAGAGGTCATGGCTCCCCGCCCAACTGTAGGCTCAGCTCCCGGCTGGGGCTGTACTCCCTGCTGCCTGCCCTGCTGCCTTCAGCTTCCTATCATGCCAGCCCTGGATGGGGCTGCATCTCCCACTGTGCTAGCCCCAGACAGCTGGCTCTGCTGCCTCCAGCTCCAGTCGGGACTTCACCCTGCACAGTGCCAGCGCAAGCCGCACTCCCTACCAGACCAGAGAATCCTGAATTTTAAGAGGTTCAACCTGTACATACCAAGGACAGGAATCTTGCGAGAAGTCTGTCGGTTATAAATAAGCAAGTTTCCCTTAGTTGTTCCAACAGCAAGTAAGGCTCCAACTTTGGACCAAAGCAAGAAAGACATTGGGTCTCTGCAAATATTAAAAAAAAACACAATAAAGTAATCTTAAATAGCATCAGTGAGAGTCTTTTAAAAAACTTAAACAAGAGCATTTTTCACTATATTTCTATTTGTATTTGCAAAGTCTTGGGTAAACTTGAGCTGAATCTAATTCATTCATTCATTTAAGGGGAGTTTGCCACTTTCAGACTTGCTTAAGCATGCTCAAAATAGCAATGAACTCAGGGAAAAAAAGATTTGTTTAAATATTTAGAAATGTACAAATGCAATACACATCCACATCTAAATGTTGGCACCTGTCCATAAGCTCTAAAAATCCTTGATATATTTTCAAATATACCAGAGGTAATCAAGTTGACAAATTTCTTTCTAAGAAGTGTTAAAAAGAGATGGTACTTTTCGAATTTGTTTTGCATTGTCATGTCATGGTTAATTTGGAACTGACCCCATTATTGTATTCACATGATGGATCATAGTTCTTTGATTGACAAATTATCCAATGTAGTGTGAAAGCTTAGCAGAAGCTATTTTCCTTTGAGTTTCAGATACAGGAAGGCTATCTTGTGTGTGATTTTTAAAAAAATATATAAAAGGCTAATATTTTAATTGAATTAATTAAAAATATAATATTTCAATTTCCCTGCAGCCCAATCTGTCAGCCAAGCCTGAATCCTGACATTCCTGTTGCATTTATATTATTGTGTGCAATTATGTATGGCTTCCTCACTGAGACATCAATTCTAAAATCCAATTACATGAGGGACACTGTATTTTTTGTAAAATGCCCTTGAAGGACATTTTATTTGTTTTATTATTGTATTTTTTACTTTGTAAACTAACAAGCATAAAAGATAATAACAGAAGCAAAAACATGGTGGATTGATTTAAATCAAGGTGTTTTAAATCCCAATTTAAATCACCCAAAAAACCATTGATTTAAATCAAGTTACCAAAAAGTTAAGACTGTCTATGCTTAGAGTGCACTTAATTGTGAAGTAAACCCCAATGAAGTCACTGACATTTCTGGGTTTTTTAAGAAAACAGCTATAGAATGGGGTTCCCTTGGAAAAAGCTGAGTTATGATGAAGTGAAATAGGGAATAGACTTATGGTATCACCATGATGTTCCAAAATAAAGGTATGTTTGAAAATGACACTAAGTGGCAATTGGCAACTCTAGACATCTCTTACTGCAGTTTTCTATCTTGTATACTTGGGTAACAGAGTGGGAATCTATCTAAACAAGCCATAAGGATTAGCTAAGCTAATGTTTTTCCCTTGCAACATCCAGCACAACAGACAACTTGGAAATTTGTCAAGTAATATTTATCCTAAAAAGAACAGAGTGTCTTGAAGAATGATGTACTGCAAAGTGAATTATTTAAGTTAGTAACCAGCTGACCCACTCAGCCATATCCACATCATCCAAATCATTTCCTCACAATAAGCAGTTTTCCTTATGATGTTACATTCTTGCAACTAGGCCTTGCATCTTCTTTTTGCACTACTTACATTTGAAATATTTTCCTTTTTTGCTTAGGGAACGAATACTCATAAGAGATAGAGTCTCTTATACCCAGAAACTATGACAAAGTGTGGGGGAATATAGGAAGCTGTGTGTGTTCTGAATAAGGTCTTTCCTTTTTCTTTCCAGTCCACTTAATTGTTCCTTTCTATTCTGCCTCCATCCTTCTCTATATATAAAATCTCTGTCTTTAAGACAATGTCTTAATTAACTCCTTTTGTCATGTTTGGCCCAGGTCTACCCCCACATAAGCACAGAACAAAAATGACCCTATCCAACTTGTGTCTTTCTTTGCACATGTTACTTTTTAGTCTGCTGAGAAACAGAAATTGAAAGCCAAGAACTTTACCAGCTATTGCTTCTTGAGTTAGGCTGGACAGACTAGAGCCATTAATTCACTTCTATGAAATTGCAAGTGTAGGTGTAGCATATTTGTCATGAGACTTAATTGTAACTTATTTTTAAATGAGAAATTTAGTATTTTATTAATGATTAAAAAATTAAAAAATGCAATTTAAATAATTTTTTTAAATCAGTTTTTATTTACCCAGAGCAGAAGTACTAAAGGAATAGATATTTCTGTAAGAGGAGCTGCTCATATCCCAGCTACTGGAGACAAAATGAGATGCATTTGAGTCTGTGACTGTCAGGATCAAGTTTCTCATAAATCATGTGAAGAGGAACATATTTGCTCTGTTGCTAAGGGGTGACATTAGGAGCAGGAATTTTATTATCTCACATGCTTTAAAAGTACCTAGCACATTGTGACTGCTACTGTTATGCAACTAATGATAGGAGGAGAATCTAAGGATTTAGGCACTCTTGATATTTCTTTAAAACAGTGTCTCTCAAACTGCGGTCCCTGGACCACTAGTGATCCGTGGCTGCCTCCCAGGTCATCCACAGCTTGAGCTAATCCCCCCTCTCCCGATTTCCCCACAGCAGGAGTGTGTTGGCACTCTAGCCTCGTGTCCACCAAGCGCTGACCCCACCACACCGGCTCAAAAGAGATAGAGAACAGAGCCATGCTGCATTTCTCGCCTTCCTCCTGCCCAGCTCAGCTGGGGGAATGGCAGTGTAATCAAGGGCTTTCCCTGTGGCAAGGACAGAGTGTGAAGAAAGCCCCAATCCCAGGACAGCACCATAATTAAGGGCTTTTTGTGGAGAAGCGGAAAGGGAGTGTGAAGAGAGAGCAGAACAAGCGGCTCTACACTATGTTTCTTGCCTCCCTCCCACCCAGATCTCTGGGGGAATGCCAGCGTAATGACAGCCTTTCTCTGCCACTCTCACTGGGTGGAGTTGTAGCCAATGGTAGCTGTGGGCGGCCCTACTGGGACCCAGAAGGGCATGGAGCCAGGTAAGCAGCTCCCGTATGCCCAGACCCTGCACCCCAATCCTCCTCACTTATCCTAATCTCCAGCCAAGACCCTACACCCATAGCTTGCTCCTACAGCAGGGCTGAGCAAAAGATAATCTGCAGGCTGATCCAGTCTGCAAGAGCCTCAGCTATCCTTCTGCCTGTCCTGACCCTGCTTGGCACTCAGGAAAGCTGGCTGCAGGGCCACATGTGTGTTTGTGTTTCTGAACACTGAGAGCCTGGAGGGAGGGGAGAATGACATCTCATGCTGCCCCACCTCCCAGTAGCTCCCATTGGCTGGTTTCAGCCAATAGCAGCTTCCTGTTTGCAGGATGGACAGCATAGAAAATGCCACTCATTCCTCATCTCCCCCCCCTTTTTCAGCATTCTGTTCAAAGCAGTAAACATGGCTACTGCAGCTCCCTGAATAGGTACAGGGGCTGGAAGGCAGGGACCCTGGCTAAGGAACCTGCTGGGCACCTGGCTGAGAGCCAGGTAAGGTCTCCCAGCAAGAATAAGCCCCTCCCTCCCACAAACCTCTGCTCCCCTACCTCATGTAATTAGGGTTGCCAGTTGGTTTAACCAAAAGTACAGAACATCCCTCCCCCCCCTCAAAAAAAACCCCACCGGGGAAAAAAATTCTGCCGAGGAAAAAAAAAAGGGGGAGACCAAAGTTATTGAGCAAAAAAACCCAGCATGTCCCCTTTATGAAATGCTTTTGAGGCTTTTTGGCCCTAACAGGCTGCCAATGGCCATCTGCCATCTTGTCTTCCTGCTCTGGGCCAGACAGCTCCCCTGTGGAATCAGGTAAGCACCCGGTACTTTCCCCTCCCATCTGGGAAAAAAAATAAAAAAATCAGAAAATACCAGACATTTTAGGAATCTGGTATTTTGTGATTTTTTTACTGGACAGGAGGTGAAAATACCAGACAGTCTGGGTGAATACCGGACACCTGGCAACCCTACAGGTAATCCAAACTTTCTGAACCCCTGCTCCAGCCCCCAGATCTTCCCAGAGACTGGATCTCTTTGTATGCCCCACCTCATGTCACAAATCCCTCCCAGATCTTGCTCCCCAATCCACTGTCCCTGATTACAGCCAAAATCCCTGAACCCCCTCCTGACCCAGGTCCCAATCCTCTCCCAGGCCCCGCACTCCTTCCTCCTACAGCCTTCTCCGGTCCAGAATCCTCTCTTGCACCCTTACCCCTCACAGACTATGCACCCCTGTCTCAAGTCACAGCCCAAACCCCTGCACCTCACTACCCCAGGTCACACTCCCCTCCCAATCCCTGGACTCCCTTCTGATCCTACTCTGTTGCCCCAGCTCGTGATCCCCTCCTTCATCCAAAACTCACTACCAGATTCTACACCCCAATCATTACCCAAGTTACCTTCTGCACCCAACCTCCATCCCAGGCCCCTGCACCTTCTCCATTAATAATGGAACAGTACAACTTTTGATCATTTACCAAATTCTTGGAGTGCCCCCTCATCAAAAATTATTGTTCACCTCTGCTCTGCACCCTCTCTCCTGGCCAAACATCTACTCCCACGCCCTGCTCCTGCATCCACCATTGATCTTGCACCCTCCCTTGCTCTTGCTCCCTCCCCCTGGCCAGACCCCCTACTCCCAGCCTGCTTCTGCACCTTCTCTCTCACCCATATAGCGCATCCTACACCCCATCTTCCGCCCAGATCCTGCACCCCCTCCATCTCTGTCACACTTGCTGGCAGCCCTGTCCTGTACACTGAACCCTTCATTTTTGTCCCCACCAAAGCCTAAGGGGGTCCACAAAGTCCATTAACTGTAGAACCCCAGAAAAGTAAATCTGGCCTATGGGAAGCCCTGAACCTCAGTCCTCTCTGTCCGTTCCCTTCACCCCATGGGGCTGGAGCACCACAGGAATGAGATGTCTCAGTTGGGAGCCACCTCAGTGAGGGCTCGGAGGGTTTTGGATGAGTTTTTTTTTTTCCTTCTCACTTGTGTGGTCCCCAACTGATTTTTCTGTAGATCAATGACCCCGAATCCAAAAAAGATTCCCTACCACTGCCATAAAGAAAACATTTAAACCTTTTGTGTTGGACATAAATTAATATTTTAGTTTATCAAACTTATTTTAAATAAATAACATGAGAGTTAAAAAGCTTAATCTGTTTAATAATTTAAATTAAACCATTCAGCTGTAGCACTAGCAAAGTGGCTTGGGCATAATGATGTAATTAATGTTGAGTTTCCATTAGCAACTGGTGGTCCATGGAAAGGTTTGCACTGAGCCAGCCATTGGGCCAAAAAGTTTGAGAACCACTGCTTTAAAAACACAAATCATACTATAGAAAATATTCAGACACAATCTCCATCATACACTGACAATGAGCAGCTAAACTTTACAGCAACAAGATTACATATTGCCCTTCAGCAACACAACATATTGGCCTCAAAAGCTGTATTGAAAGATCTTTGTAATACATTTGAAGGTCAAGAGACTCATCTTTTTAGACCCCAGGTGTGGGAAACAAGTTCCAAAGTTGAGGAATCCTTAGGGAAAGTGCCTTCTCAGCAGCAACCTCTATTTTAAACTGAATTGATTCCAGATCAAGTGTTTCTATTGATCCCAATTTTGGCAATAGCACATGTTTTGGATAGAGGTAATCTCACAAGTAGACAGTTAAAAGGCCATTTAAGGTATTATAGAGCAAAACCTACAGAAATGCTCTACCTTGAAATGTAAAGATAGCTCATCAAGTCTACAAAACATGAACATAACATCTCTGTGGCAACATCTCTCTCCTAAGAAACAGACTGCTGCACTTGCATTAGTTTCAGCTTCCAAATGGATTTTGGATGTAGCACCAACAAGAGCATGCCACATGCTGCAGTAGTCTATTCTTGACATGTTTTACTTTTTACAAGAAGAGTTGTTCTTACCTCATGCCACTGTCCACCTGGCTTGTTTTGTTTGTGTTGGCATCCCACAGATAAATGGTACTGGATTTGTCAGCAATTATGGCTAAGATGTCCCCATCTTTATCCCAATCCATAGCAACACAGTTGCTTAAGAAACACAGACAGAGAGAGAATAAAATTTACTAGTGGATTTTTAAAGTTTGAGGGTATGTGACAAAATTATACACAGTCAGACTGAAGCCCCCGACTCAGTTCCTCCCCTCATAACAAACCTTAGACAGTATGAGACATTTACGTTACAGAAACCTGAATCTCCAAGTAAAAGTTGCACCCCAGCTCTAATCTCACCCAAAATTATGACCTCTTCCTACCACGTGTGTGTTCAACAGGGGCTCCAGAGTTCTGATCAATTGCTACATCCCAAGGCTAGAGGGTCCCTTCCAACATACTCTGGATCTTCAAGGGACACCAAGCTGTCACACAACCTTATAGATTTTTGGAGGCCACCTGATGTAGACAGCTGCCTCGTACTTCTCAGAAGAATATTAAGTTAGGGACAGAAGATCACATGTAAGCAGGAAATGCTCTATTTGCTGTTCCTACAATGAGCACAAGGGCAGACACACCTCACAATTCAGCAGAGGAGAATTAAGGCTAAAGAAGGAAATTAAGGATTATAAATTCCTCTGCATTGGGTACATTTCCCTGCTGCACTAGTGCAGGAAGGGCTTGGGCACCAAAGGCTCTCATTAGGACTGGAAAAGACTGTGGATCATAAAAAAAAAAAAAATCCTCAGAGATAGTGCAGAAGAAGCCTCTTGGGGGTAATTCTACAATTAAAAACCCTTGGCTGGCCTGTGTCAGTTGACTCAGTCTAAGGGGCTATTGTAGTGTCCCTTAAAGTGCCAGGGAGGGGAAAAAGAGACACTCAATTCTAGGAGCTCAGCTGCATGCCTGAAGAAAACAGGATGGATGGATTCTGGAACACAAATGTTTGTATAAACCTTTGCAGCCCTGGCTTATGCATATTGGTAGGTGAAGATGTTTCACTACAGTGCAGACTTCTGGACTCAAATTGGTGCCTGTGAAGAGGGAGGATCCTAGGCCTCAGACTAGAAGTGTACACTGCAATGGAAGAAACCCTGCAGCTTAAACCCCAGGAACCTGAGGTGGCTGGCACGGGCCAGCTGTGGGTTTTTCTTTGCAGTGTCATCATCACCTGAGGTCTTTCAGGATGACTGACCACAACAGAGCTTGGACTGAGTGCTAGTCAGTCACTCAGAACAACAACGCTCTACATTGATCTGTTATTGCCTGGCAGACTGGGGAATTAAATCCATTTCCTTGAATAATTAACAGACCACAACAAAGTTAAATTAATTTCCAATAAAAGTTAAAACGCAGTCTAGCTATGCAGGTAAGTCAGCAGCAGACTAAACAGCACACTCAACAATTTATTTCAGAGTGGCAGTATGTAAGAAAGACTATTTGCTTTGTGGCCAATTGGCGTACATATACATCCAATACAAGTAGCTCATGGCTATGAGAGCCTGTATACAGCATCCTGAGCACAGAACTATTCAACTGTAAGGGCAGAGATGGATGAAATTGTTTATAGACCCTGCATATAGGCTCACCTCAGAACTGACTTCCCCAGTTGTCCAGCTGAAGAAGTCACACTCATGGTGAAAGGGACACCAAGGTGGAATGAAGGAACATACCCCCCTTAGATGGGACTCTCCTTCCAACAGATAGTGGAGACTGACACGTCTCATGTACTGAGGGGATTGAATTACCATGTTTTAGCGTATATAACCCACGGGTTATGCAAAGTTTTACAAACCACGCCCCCCTGTGGGCTATCCTCGTCCGCACGTTATACAAGTTTTGTTTTTTTTACTTCGGTGATGGTTGAGGTGCCGAATCAGCAGGCAGTGCAGAGGGGGATGAGAAGTCAGGGAGGAGGTAATCAGCTGTGAGACCCCATCCCCTGTGCCCTGCACTCCAAGTCCCATGGGAATACCTTGTGACATTCCCTCTATTGTGTCTGTCTGAACGTGGCTGTCTCTCTGTGAGAGGAGGGGTGCTTTGTTTAAGGACACAGCTCCTTTGCTCAGCTCCTGGCTCTGGCTGCCTGGGTCAGACAGCTCACCCCCGGGAGAGTGCACAGCACAGGCAGAAGGCAGCTGGGGAGGGTTGGAGATGGTGCGAGGGGTAAGCTCAGTCACCTTTCCTTCCCATGCAGCCTCCCGTGACACAGCCAGTCTGCCCTGTCGGGCTGCGGCTATCTACTCTGCGCTTTGGCAGTTGTGCAATGATATATCTGGAGCTCAAACGCTTCTGTGTGACAGGCTCAGACCCTGATGCTTGAGTAAATTACCCTCGTTATTATTCATTAACAGTACTCGGGGTTTATCTCCAGCGGGCTAAACACGTGCATGGGTTATCTAAGACTTTTTTTTTTTTAAACACACAATCAGGAAAAACTGTGGGTGATGCACGGGTGCGGGTAATACACGTGCGTGGGTTATATACGCTAATTTACAGTACAATGGGAAAAACAACAGGTACCTCTACAGTGCAGAACTTCTCCCCCACACCAAACACAGCAGCAAGTCTCAGAGCTCCAACCTGGACTTGTGCTACAATACTAAAAATTGCAGTGCAGATGTTTCTGCTTTGCTTGGAGCCTGGGCTCTGAAACCTGGGGGGAAGAGGGTCTCAGAGCTCGGGCTTCAAGTTGAGCAGGAACATGTACACTGCTATTTTTTGCCTTGTCACACTAATCTGAACCAGCAGACTCATGCTCTGAGATTGCTGTTGCAACAGTTATTTTTCAGTGGAGACGGGAGACCGATCATCAGAAATGTAGATAGCTGGCGACCACGAGAACAACATGGTGACTTCATTGCCAGATGTCAGGAGATCACCTGCAGTTTGGTTGGCTGGCACTGGGGAAGAGCCTGTGGTCATGGCATGTATTGATACCAATGATGTAGAGAATTATGGGGCAGAGGTTCTAGAAGGTAAATTTAGAATAGAAGGTATAGGTCCAGGGCCTCAGTGGTAGCTTTTTTTTTTTAAAATGCTTTGAGTTCCATACACAGGTCCAGCTATACAGAAGGTACTTCAAGGTCTCAGTGCATAGATAAAAAAAAAAAAAAAAAGTGCAAAAAACAGATTAAGTTTTGTAGGCATTGGGGTATATTTGGAGGAAGGGGAGCTTATACAGAGGACAGGAGACTGCCTTTATTAAAATGGAATCAGACTAGAATGGAATAGAAAATAAGATAACAGTTTGTGGTTGTTAACTAACATGAGTAGATGGTGAGAAGAGAGAAGTCAGTAGATGGTGAGAAGAGAGAAGTCAGATGAAGAAAATACTTTTATACAGCTTTTAGATGAAGTTTGGACCAGAGATAACTTGGTATTTTAAGTATAAGAGGGGTAGCATCTGATGAAGTGGGTCTTTGCCCACGAAAGCTTATGCTCCTACACTTCAGTTAGTCTATAAGGTGCCACAGGACTCCTCGCCACTTTTAGTATTTTAAATCTTTCTAGCCAGCCACATGTGTTATACATTTATGTATTTTAGCAATGAGCTATTTATGTGAGGTCTTGAAATTCTGGTTAAAATTATCTCTACCTTTCATCTGACAAACAGTATAGCTACATAACTTTTTATGTGCAAGAATATATAATATTTTCCTCATTTTTCATGGCTATTGTACAAATTCAGTTTTGCCTCAAATACACCTTTCACATATTACTTATATGTATGAATAGGCCATTTTTAAAATAAAGTGCTCCAAACACTCTTTATAGTTACCTTGATAAGTTAATTTCATTTCTCTTCTGCCCATGACGATCAAAGATTTTTACAGTGTGATCAGCTCTAAAAACAGAGAAGATTAATTCAGTTTTCTTGTTCACTTGTAAATACCTTTAAAGATTCTATAAAAACTCCACCCCTCCCCCCATTGATCTTTCATGCCACAGTGATATGGCTCATGAGTTTGATTTATTGATTTTTCCAGTGGATAGGTACTTACTGTAACAGATATTATGGATATATTCTGTGTTGTAGTCATGCGGGTCCCATGATATTAGTGAGATAGGATAGGTGAAACATTATCTTTTATTGGACCAACTGTTAGTGAGAGAAGCAAGTTTTCAAGCTTACACATAGCTCTTCTTCAGGTCTGGGAAAGATAAGCTTGCCTCTCTTACAAACAGAAGATAACATTAGAAAAGATATTGAATATTATAATATCATTGTATCATAATATATCAGCTTTATAAATCTTATATGTAGGATTATGTGCTAAGGATTGTATTCTGGCTCCATGGGGGAGTTCAGAATTTCCTACAAGAACTAAAATCACTAGGAGGGATTTTCTTTAATTACCTAAGTAAATAACAAATCTGGTGCAGACTCAGCCCTGGTAAAAACTGCATATTGTGATGGAACTCTGGTAGTGCCCCCTGGGTCCTGCTCTTCCTGGTGGATTTTAAGACACCTCAGAAGCTTGAGGTGACCCTCCCACTGTTTCTTGGTTCTTTTAGAGGTGAAGGTTCCCTGCTTAATGAGCCATTTTCATCATAAGCCAGACACTAGTTTGGAGGAGAAATCCCTTCTGCGGTCCAAAAGTCCTCTTTTCCCTTGTGGTAGCCCACCAGATATGGGTGGAACCTGGTCCTGCCCACTTACTCCAAGTTCCAGCCCAAGGCCCTACATAATGGCAACTAGTGAGGCTCTTGACCTTATCTCCACCATATAGCAGCCTCTCCTTAGGCTACTTCCCCAACCATTCCTGCAATACCTTCTCCCTGGCATCTTGGGAAAAACCTCTTGTTTGCCTCACTCTGTGCTTCCTTCTTCACTCCAGTCCTTCCCCCTCCTTGCCTGAGGGGAAACCTTTTATAAAGGAACCTGCAGGCCCTAACTGCTACTGCACGTCAGCTCTTAATGAGTCCCAGGTGCCTGCCTGACTTAATTGCTGGGCAGCAGTCTCCAGCAGCCTATTCAGGAAATGGGAACTTGTTCACTCAACAGCCCATATTCCTGCCCTCCAATGAACTCTTGCAGCTTGCGATCTTTGTCTGCCACAATATACACAGGCTTTGCAGAATTTAATTTAGATTGGTAGGTGAAAATAGACTTCAATTTAAACTGACACAGTGAAATTAAAAAAAACCCCTCTGTGCACCTTATGTCTTCATGGATCAGGTATCACCAGTCCTGAGGTGAGGCAGGAAAGACTACTGTCATGGCCTTCTCACTCACCAGGATCCATTCCCAGGCAGGAGCCTTTCAAATCCAGGGGCTCATCTCATAGTAGAAGGTGGAGGGTCTCTGCTCTACCCCACCTGCCCTGCCAGGTCTGCAGCCTTTCCTGCATCTTGTATCTGCAGGGACCCAGTGTCACTGGTCCTATAGCATCACTGGAAGCCACAGGTAGCCATTCTAGAAGTGATGCTGTAATATTATGGTGGAAGAGAACTCACTATACTACCAAAGGGCCTGTGACACTGGATTCCTGATGGTGCATGGTCCAGAAAAAGCTGCAGTCCTGGAAGAGCAGAGCAGAGACCCTGAGCTAGTACTGCAAGGATGATGTACTGGGAGCCCTGTCCCTGGGCTGGAGCCACTTGAGAGGGGGTAGCCTCCTCTCAGACCAAGGGCTTGTCCCGTTACTCATAGCTCTGGACAGGAGTCTCTGCTCTGACCTGCCAAGATCACAGCCTTCCCCACACCTTGAACCTGCAGGAATCAAGTGTCAGGCCCTGCAGACATGCAGGGAACCTTATGGAGACATGACAGAAGAGTTGCACTCACTCATTCCCTCACTCACCAAAAACACAGGAGCCAAAGCAGAGTGGCCACCCTCTGTGTTCAGGGAGTCATCCTTCTCCTTGGGGTCCTTGCCGTGGGTCTTTGCTCTATTGGGTGAGAATGATAGGCTCCCTGGCACTTTTTACCTAGGTGTCTTGGTTCCCTCACCTGTGCAGGGTGCCCCTGTAGCCCTGTTGCCAGTCCGGGGAACATCTTGGGGGCCCCACGGTTAGTGTTATCCTATTACTCTCCTTCCCCTTAATTTCCAACAGGTATAAACATTATAATTGTTAAATATCAAACACAAATCTTAAAAATAAAGATACATATTAGCTGCCTAAGTTACAAAAAATTGAATTCTGCCAACTCTACCTATATGTTGGACCTACTTCAAGAAACATGACAAAAAGAAATGAAAACAACAAAACTGCCGCTGATCAGTTGATAACTCAATCATTGCTTAGTTGATCACTAGTTAACCCTGTCATTGCCCATGAGAGACTAGGACTATAGGTACTGAACTGAAGTCAGATCTACTGTAGTAATCACAGTGACTTACACATAGAATTGTAGCCTAGATTCTTGGACTACAGGTGGACAGTTACAAGACTTCGCCCTGAGAATGGTGACAAGCTAGTGATGTCTGAGACCAAAATTGAGTGCCCTCAAGAATGCCAAAAAAGGGGCTCAGAAATGCAAGTTACCTCAGGAACTGCGACATATACTGTGATAGTGAATATACAACATTAACAAAAGGATGTGAAAATAACTCAATTACCTCCATATATATAATAGTAATATTTAAATATTTCTTATCTTACCCTGTCACAGCAAGGAAGTTTCCTAAAGTTTTCTGCCAAGTGAATTGCACAGGAGAACCAAGCAAACCCTTTTCTAATAGAGTAAATACTCGCTGAGGGAAGAAAAAGGGAATTACAAATTTAAAATGGTAAGCACTGAAGAACATTAAACCTGCCTAGTACATATTAGTAAATCTAGCTAACATTCAGAAAAGCAATTAAAGACAGGCTGCAGGATAGAAAATGTACAAAAGGGAAAGAATTCTGTCACAGGTATTTTGTTCTACATGGGAAAAGTGAATTTTCATGGCAGACACTTCAGATCTGGTGTTGAAAAAGCTCAGCCTTAAAAACGAAAGGTGAAAATAGTACAAATATACTTTATTTTTTTAAAAAAATTGCTAATACAAATTTAAAAAATTCAGACTTTTGCAAAGACAGCATATTTGATTGTTGCTGCTTGGTTTAGTTGTGTACTTTTACTTGTAACTGAACTATAAAATTACCTCACCCCCCACATCTTGTTATGAAGCCCAGGATTTTAACAGAGTTCAGAAAAGAACTAGAATACTAGATAAATTCATGGAAGTTAGGTCCATCAATGTTTATTACCTAGAATGGGTAGGAATGGTGTCCCTAGCCTCTGTTTGTCTGGGGCTAGAAATGGATGACAGGAGAGGGATCACTTGATGATTACGGGTTTCTGTTCACTCCCTCTGGGGCATCTAGCATTGGCCACTGTGGGAATACAGGATACTGAGGTAGTTGGACCTCTGATCTGATCCAGTATGGCTGTTCTAATGTTCTCATTACTTTAAGAGACTGCATAAGAAGCTCACTCTTCAGTTTTAAAAAAAAGTTTCTAGTACAGTGAATAGGATTTTATAACAAAAATTAAAAAATGGAGTTTCCTTACATAAACTGGATATTTAATTTTATTTAAATTAGAAGAATTTAAGTTTTCTATTTATAAATAGTCCCCTGCATGCAAGGCATGTAAACGTGTAACCACTCAAATTTTCAGCAGTTACACATTTACCTGAATACACTCATTTTAACATCTCTAGGTTACATGCGCTGTGGGCTCTGCAGTATCTTTCTCTATATACATATATAAAAAACTTTTCCTGCGGGCCGACAGAGTGACATTGTACAGCTTCAGCCCTTATTTGGCTGCAGGAAGGTGGCAACTTTGCTCCCGCTGTGGCACGAGTAGCAGGGGAGGCAACGATCCAGCTACGGTGGGGTGGACAGATGGGAGGTTGGTGCACATAACTCGCAGGGGGCACAGCACCCTAGTAAAGCTCAAATAAGATTTATACTGCAGAGCCTGACGTGTAGCCTCCCTCAGCAGAGAAGCTGCCTCCCGTGGAGCTGGGCCAATGGTTTGCACAGAGCTGGTCCCTTAGCGATCGGCCCTGGTCCCGGGGGGCCAGCACGCAGCCTGCGATTCGGAGGATGGGCTGGGCACCGACAAAGGGTGCTCCCGC